ATTTAACTTGTAATAATAATTTTTTCTTTGTTGTTATCTACTTAGTTTCGCTGTATGTTTGTATGCCGTAGCTATAGTTATTCCATACTTATTCCGGATTTAAACTACGCATTGAAATGGCAATCAATTTATGCCATTTAAAAAAATTTCATGTCGAAGCGAACTTTGTCATACAAGTTTTTGTCATTTAATGCCTAGTGGAAATGCGGAATTATTAAAATTTATGGTAGTTTTACTTCCTTACATTCAAATAAATATATACATATCATAGACATACATCACATTTATGTCCTCCATTTACATATGCAGATATTGATTTATTTTCAAAAAAAATATTTATTTTATTATTAACACTCTTTCGGCTTTTCTATAAACTTGACCATAAAAATTACATTGTTACTCTTTTGAAACACACTTATATAGACATGTATGTTTATTACTGCAGGTAACTCTCCTAAGGCAAGAAATGCGTGCGGCAAAGTCAAATTTATGAATTAAGTACAGTACGCCCTCGGTAAAAGCAACACTCGATAAACGTAATACTTTGGCAAAGCAACTTTCAAATGCATACCGTTAGTAACTCAGTAATTGCAACTGTTCAAAAAAGTTTGCCACAGTAAACGCATCTTTCTATCCATAATTTCTTATTTATTTTCACTTTGTTTCAATTTTTTTGGGCTTACTTTTATTGCAATTTCCAAAGAAATGCATAAATCAAAAGCATGTGCGCGAAAATTTTGTCGCCGAGAGCTTAAACAATTGTATAGCAGAAAACGCTGACCCAGAGCTGATTTGCAATAATTTAGAAGGCGAAAAAAGCGAGAGCGTAGGTAAAAGCGCACTTGCCTTCAAAAAATGTATCACAAACAATACAAATTAACATTTTCAATTTGTAACCCAAAAAAATAGAAGGTTATTTTGAAACAAATCACCCAAAAATTAAGTTCTTGTTTAGACTTTGTTATTACAGCGACTTCTATCAACGCAACTGCCGAAATTTTCATTAGTTGCCTTTACCGATGACGTACTGTAATTACATACATATGCACACAATAGCCGTTTGATAACACTGTACAACAATGGCAAGGTTCGGACAATAGATTCTGGGACCAAAAGCCAATATATGGGGATATGGCGTACAAAATCCTGTACTCTTTACATTTTAACCATATAATGTGTTTTGCAGTTTTATGTAATATACGACAGGGAACATTTCTGGGTAACATTTTAACCCGCTATTTCCTCAGTAGGCGATATAAATCGTAAAAATATTTTACAAAAATAGTTGCCATTAAATTCTACTATAAGTCTCTGAACACACCAAAGCTCAAAATTCGTCTTTAATGCCAGCAATAAAACTAAACTAAAAATGTCCCTTTTAAATTATGTCATAAAGCTGCAACTAACTTTAGAGACTTTATTCTGGCTATAATATCGGAGACTTATCCAGGTGACTTAACGTCACCGGCTTCAGAACTATCAAGGCATTAATGGTTTGCGTTAGATACAATGCTCGAACTTATGTACATGAATCTGGCATTTCTACGGCCATAAACTTACCTTAACTAACTCTCCATCCAACATCTCGCATCCAAAGACACGTCCCGCACTAGTAAACTTACAACCCCGAACCCCGAATAAGTAAACTCATAAGTTTCTACTGAAGTGCATATGGAAACTTACGAAAAAAAATATCATAACGGGCTCGGTTGCTTGCAAGCAATGTGTTTGTTCTCTCGGCGTTTATCAGCTCTGAAATGAGCTCAATTCTCATAAAAGCTCTTTATTTTCACACGAGGTCTGGATGCTATTTTATTATAGAATGTAAAATTCTTGTTAGCCTTAGAGTGCCTAGAGAAACAAAATTTAGGAAAAATCAGCCGATTCGTTACTTACGCATACACATTGTGGAACTATCATCGAACGTTTAAATGTTAAAGTTATTCTACCAAATGGTAAATCTTCGGAGATATTTTTTTTTGTCAGAACTCAGCTTGGAAAAAGGTCGGGTGCCCAACTCTCAACATATCGCGGCTAAGTTCCGCATACTTAATTATTTCAAATGCGGGCCAGAAGCGCAAAGAGGGTTCCGCTGCTCATATCCTTTAAGGCAGGATGGGCGAATGGAGTTGTCATGTCATACAAGTTATCTGCAGTCCCGTCTGCTCAATGGGAGCGGAGAGCATAGTCAACTTATTTAATCGTCCATCCCAGCAAACAATCAAAACAAAGTAAAAATTCGAAGACACTCGATCGATGAAAGATATCTTAAGAGCTCTGTCCATTCAATCGAAAACATAAACACTGAGAATGAAGATGTTGACGATGACCCGAAATTTTCAACCTATAGCTTAGTATCCAGCTCTTAAGAAAAGCAAAAACTCCATATAAAATGACGTACAAGAAATGGCTAAGAAATTTTCTTGAGTCAAATTTCCTTAAGGCAGTACGCAGTTCTTCAGAAATTTAGTACGCTTTCTACTACGGTTTTCTAAAGTTTTTTGTGAAAAAAGAGCACAAGGCAACCCAGGTTTGCGACAGAAATATATGCCCGTTCCATTATTTCTTGAGGAAAGAGTGAGGCAACAGGCTGTGCGTTATCAAAAATGTCAAAATTCCTTGGGCACACACGCGAAATAATGGCAATTTTTTCTTGACCGTTTTCTTAAGAGCTGGATACTAAGCTTATACCTGTACCTGTATCTTCATCCGTCTAAAATCCACTCCACGCAAGAACTCCAGCCAGCTGACCAAAGACTAACTACGCTCTGTTGCGCGACAAATTTCCAGGAGGCATAATTTCATGACAAGGCGATGGGGCTTGGATTTCGGCTATTAACCAGGGAAAAAGTGTCTGCTAAGTTATACATTTCCTTTCCCATAAAAATGTTTGGTTTTCTGGTAGGTAAGGTACAACGATGTCGAATTTCGTTGAATTCGGTTAAATAGAAATAGGCGCTCTCTCTCTTGACAATTAGGCAACAGAGCAATAGCGATCAATTAAGAGTCCATGAAGTTGTGCAGGTCAGCGCCGTTAGGTTCAGGGTGTTCGAGTTAGATTTTTGCGTGCGGAGGACGGAAAAAAACTCAGAAATGTGTACTTAATTTACTCACGGCATCTTAGGACAATAATTTCGGAGGAAAGTATTTAAAACTTTTGGATGTACATACATATGTTTATATTCATATCACGCTCCGAAAGTATATTTAGTACTTACAAATGATGTTAGAACCACGGAAGATTATTTTATTTGACATCAGATGTTTACACACACACTCATACATACATACGCCACACGTGAATGGTTGATCACAGCATTACAGCTCAAATCTAGAGGCGGGTTACCTGCACTTCATTATACTTTCAGCACATTTATACTTTTCACGCCTACTTTCCGCTTATACATATTTATGTGTCTCCACCTTCTCTCCTTCACTCACCTTTATGTGCTTTGAATGTGCTTAGACTTTCGTTATGTGTTTTAATAGTGCAATACGTTTGTATGTATGTACTAGTTACTCAATTATACATCTCCAGTTTAGACACTCACGAAGTTCACTCTCTCAATTTAATGCCTCATAGGTTCGCCGTCGCCACGCAAGAAGCGCAACAATTCGACACCTGTAAAGAAAAATGCCGCTGAAAAGAAGCAAATTCTGCAGCAATTGGTTTCACCAGCGCCCAATGTGGACAAACCCAAAGTCAGTTTGGGTGAGCTCATCAATATGTCTGAGACACATTTACGTGCGACTAGTAATGTCGATTCAGAGAGTGATGTGAAAGAGACGACATTCTCAGAGAACTCCGGTTCATTGACATCGACCAATGTCGCGAATGTTGCACGCACAATTGCCGATCCGAAGTTGGAGAAGAAAGTAACATTCGCACGGCTGCTGAACAAAGTCTCTGCCGAAATGAGTTCCGGTTCGGATATGGATATTGGACATATGGCGGTGAGTAGAAAGTGATCCGAAAAATTTCAGCGTCAACAGACAGAGTGGAGTATTGTTCATTGACAATTATTATTATCCTCTAACTTGTTTGCTGACGTAACTTATTAGTGCATTGCTTATGCTTATTATTATTGCTTATTAGACAAGCGTTATTGGTTCGTGGCAAAAAGTAACTAAAGTGAGTTTATGATCTTCAGGCAAAAAAATCGAAATATTTGCGCCCACTGGCTCAGGAACCAGAAGAAACGGAAGCTTTCCTGTGATCATTGATCATTTCTTACACTAATCTACTCATAGCACCGATAATCTGTGGTATTAAGTACATTCGACTTTTTTATAACTGTATAAAAACTTGCATTATAAATTTTCCGCTGGAAGCTGAAGCATACAGAAACAAATTTCAAATTGTGTGTTATGCCTATAAAAATATAAAAAGGCGCTTTCGAACAATGTCGATTTTCCCTGAAGTGCCATAAGTGATTTAAATATATGTATATATATATACGATAAATGTAGATCGGCATAGCTAAAACTAAGTTTATAGATCTTAGTGGTATATAATTGTAGAATAAATGCAGTACATCGATTTTATTTCTACATGTTTATTAGGGAGGTCCTCAAAAATATCAACATCTCTTGTTCTACGTATAAAATAAAAACATCCACGAAAATTTTTACATTTTTAGCAAATTTTTAGTGGTAGTCGCAACGAGGGGTTGAAAAATAATAATTATTTTTTATAAATCGCAAAGATTCGCACAACGCCGAAACCGGTTTGTCTCCAAACTAAATTTGACAAGGGATGACGAAAAATCGCTCCACAATTAATTACAAAACTTGTATTTCAGCAGCTACAACTCAGCGAGTTTACGAATTTATGTATATGAATAAGTTTCAGTATTTATTCAGATTCCAAGTCAAAATTTGAGATTTTGGATTGTTTTAAAAAATTTAGAATTTTTCGAACAATGGGAGCAGTCCCTTAAAATTATTAAATTTTCGCAGACATATTTATTTTGTGCGGACCCATATAAAATTTATAGGTTGATTGATATTTATTTAAATAATCGATAGAAATTTTTCAATAATTTATATGATTGTCAGCAATTTGATCGATAACACTATCGATTTCGTTGCCTATATATATACATATTCAAAAAAAATTATAGATATATTCACTAAAAACGTCATCGACATATATATGATTGATTATTTTTATTGATTATAATCAGTTATCTGTCTCAACTTTTTCTCCATCCATTGATGTATTTACATAGCTGTGTCGATAACGATAATGATTCTTTAATTCGATGTATTTATATTAATATCAATGAATTTATCGAGATAAATTTATCGAAGTGATCGTTGATTTTTTTGTTTACATATTACAGACGCTACTATTAACGTTTTTATCGATACGATTTAGCGACTATCGATTTTATTGGCTATGTTACCGCTAAAAGAGAGTCAAAAATTTTTGGCAAGGCAATTTCGATTAGAAAATTTTTTGTCGCCTTTTTACATTTTTCGTGATATCTTCCGCATTTACAGTATGATCGTACAATTAAAGTACCACCCTAATGTCAGTAAATTAAAGCTCACAAAAACCCATAAAACTTTTGCAAAGAAAGTATTTTGATTATGTCTGTAAAAATATTAAAAAAAAGTAAATATTTATTGCGGAATGGGGGTGTCACCGAAAANAAGCTCACAAAAACCCATAAAACTTTTGCAAAGAAAGTATTTTGATTATGGCTGTAAAAATATTAAAAAAAAAAGTAAATATTTATTGCGGAATGGGGGTGTCACCGAAACATGTAAAAAGGCGATCGGACAAAAAAAATTCTAAACTGCCTTGCTAAAATACTTTAGATTCATGGGTGTGAGACGATTTTATCCTTGTTTGCTTATAAAGTAGTACGGTCCAATGTATGTACAGACATATCTATCAAAAAAGTATCGATATATTAACTAAAATCTCTGCGATATAATTAACAATAACAGTTACGTTTTCCATATACTAAAATTATAGTTATCGCTAGTTCTATTTATTGAAAATTATTTTATTCACACAAATGAGCTAATGACAGGTCCATTTTTGGCACGATGACACATTGTTCGAAGCCTTATATACTACCCTACCCACCTTTAGTTCATACGCTTTGAAATATTTCTACTTCAAGATTGTATGAACTAAAGGTGGGCTGGGTAGTAAATATTTATAAATACATACATACATACATATACATAACATAAACAGTCTAACAACAATCTATGTAGTCTTGTTTCAACGCTTCCTAATATCCGTTTCTATTTTGTGTGTGAGTCTATGTATCTACATTAGGGTGCGACACACTCCATACCAAAAATAATTGGTACTCGCTTTCCATCGGAAATATAAAATTTATTATATTTTGTAAGAGGAGTGTAAATTTTAAATGTCTGCATAAAAATTAAAAATAAAATATATCAGCGGAATCAAAATAATGAATATCAAAATAATGAATTTTTTGGAGTTATGTTCAAATCAGTCTAGCTCACGTCAGATAAATATTTTTCTGAAATATTTGAGCGGAAGTCTTAAAATATAATACATTTTATAATTTCGGTGGAAAATCGCAATTTTTTTTTTGTTGATGCATCCTAATGTACATATTGTATTTTACTGTTAATATTCCCGAGCATACATATGTTAACACTGTACTCATTCATTTACCTTTTGTCCTTCTCCCTCGCCTAACATTCACTGCTGCACCCAACACCCCCTTTTAGAATACACGGAATTCAAGTGCCCTCAGTCTGCCAACTGACATACAGTTTCGCGCCAGCTCAGTGCCTCCATCACCGTGCACAAATGATATACGTTCACCGCACAGCACTTCATCGAATCAGGGTAGCGACTCACTATCAAGTTCCGATCTAGCACTGACCGACTTTGGTTTGCGTTCGATGCAGACCAGTGCCAGTGAGATTGGTGGTAGCACAAATCACAATACCCATCTGCCGGTCGGTGTTGGTGGTATGGGTTTTAGTGGTCCATCTTCACGTAGTCGCATCGGCACAACAGCACGCCCGAAAGTCTCCAGTGCCGACTCCATTTTAGCCATGTTCCGTAATCTTGCTTCTTCTTCAAATGCAACCTCAACAACAACTGCCTCAAACACTGCTAACATAACGCAAAGCGCATCTGTATATGTATCACCATCAACAACCCCAACCGCTTCTAGTCCACAAGATGATGCACCCGGTGACGATGAGTCATCCACTTCGTCTATGCATACACCGGTTAGTTTCTCTAGTGGACCACCCGATTCGCCTGTGTTCTATCGTCAAACCACCATAGAGGTGCCCGTTCTCGATGTACTCAATGCGCACAAATCCTCATCGACACCATCATCGTCCAATTCGTCAAGTTCAACGAATTTGTTGCACCCACCGACGATACTGCTGGAAATACCCAGCAATGGCATCAACAATAAGTGTCTGTCGCCGATTCGTGAAATGCCTACACCGATCCCATCGCCGGCGCTTACACCAATCATGCCACGGCCGCAACGTTCGAACAGTCCAATATTTCAGGACGATCCGCTGTCGTGTGGCGATTATAGTGACGATGAGCAGAGGAGTATGCGTAGTGATTGCAGTGATGAGCAAATGTCGGTGAGTAAATTTATAGGTCATTTGTGTAAATATAGTTGGTGGGAATAGACGAAAGTTTTATTTAGTGTCGTTTAATTTTCATAAATTAACAATTAAACTTACGAAATATTTAACTAGTATACATAAGTATATAACTGTACATTGATGTCGATTTAAGTCATAATTGCAAATACTACATTTTAAAACTGATTTATCAGGTTAACACTTTTTTCTTAAAAAAACAAAACGACCGCAGAGTGACTCAGATGATGGTATAGTTATAAAATTTGGACGCACAAGCCATCGTTGGTTCAGCTGAAAGAAAGTGCAAGTTTTGATACCATGTAAAATTGTTTTTATGATTTTTTAATACTAAATATATGGGGAAATCTTTTGAGATGGGGAAATTTTGCGTACTGGCATATTGTTGCCGCCACAAGGCAGCTGCACTGCCAATTGCGGTTTCTATACCTTCGTCAATACTACTTATATGTGTAAATATCAGCAAATTGCCATTTTTAACAAAACTAATGATTTAAATAACTAATTATTATTATTATTTATTATTGTTATAGTTATTACGGTAAGACGTAAACTCTTTTTCTTTGTACATTTTTACATTATAAATTACTGGTTTATATCTTAGACTAAGCTTAAATTCTAGGACTTTTCCAGTTATTAGAAAGGAGTACTAGAGATAGAGATAAAACAGACAGGATAGAGAAGAGCATATAAGTAGGTAACCACAAAAAAAGGCTGTAACCGCCGTCTCAAAAGCATCTATCCGATTTGATACATTCAGTTGATATTGGTAATGAGTCCCATAGTCTAGTGTAACTCGCATTAAATCTACTTTTTTTAAGGTGCTTATAACTTCTAGAGCGATCTGACCTAAAGCTCGGTGTTTTCAGACGTTCATTTGTAGGTTATGAGCAGGGAACGGATTTATAGTACCTAAAACCCTATAAAAAAGTCAAAAAATAGGCTAGAAAAGGTAAAATAAAATGGGAAAACAGGCAGGAAAAAGCNGGTTATGAGCAGGGAACGGATTTATAGTACCTAAAACCCTATAAAAAAGTAAAAAAATAGGCTAGAAAAGGTAAAATAAAATGGGAAAACAGGCAGGAAAAAGTACTAGAAATAGCAAAAAAGACAAAAGAAGGCACTAAAAAAAGACAAAAACCGAAAACGAATCAAAAAAATACATTTATATTAGAAATGTTTATTTTATAAGTAAAAAGAGAAAAACTATAAACTAAACGGACGTGTGTGTGTCCAGGGAATTTTGACATCTAATACTTCACATCCTGTTGCCTCACTCTTTCCTCAAGAAGTAATGGAACGGGTATATATTTCTGTTGCAAACATGGGTTACCTTGTGCTCTTTTTTCACAAAAAAAAAACTTTAGAAACCCGTACTAGAAAGCGTAGCAAATTTCTTAAGAACTGCGTACTGCCTTAAGGAAATTGGACACAAGAAAATTTCTTGTGCGTGATTTTATATGGAGAGCTTTTCTTGCATACTGGCGTTTAAGGTCGAAAGGCAACATTAAATGTGTATACATATATGGACTCAGGGAAAGCTAAATCGTGGACATTCTTAATCAAATAAACTCTATCTCTTTAGCAGAAAAAAGGCATAAAATCCGTTCGAAAATCCGTTACCATATGCGAGAAAAAGAATACTGACAACTGTAACTGAATTTCGCGTATTTTATAAAAATCGTGAATTTTCCCTTGGTAGTCGTCAACGGTACTTATTTTACATGTGTGGGTATAAAACATACTGCTTTACTTCTGCAGAAAAATAATCCTAGGCTAAAGGCCAACGTACAAAGGCCAAAGGCCAAAGATCGTCTTGAGAAAACGAGTGACCAGTGTGTAACTTTTTACTTAATAATGGTTTTTCGTTGAGCACAACCAATGAAAGGCAAACAAATTCATAAGCCCTGGTGTAATATTGTGTTCGTATATTTGGGCCGACGTAAACAAATGCTCACCTCTAAAAATTATTTTAATGGTCAGTACTGGATAATCTTTACTAATATAAATACAAATGGTTTGTTTGTTACGATTTAACACTTTAACTACTCAACCGATCATAATGAAGTCATTTAACCCAACTTAAATCATAGGATAGCCTTTATCTCAATTAGCCAAATGGGCGTGGCACCTCCCATACAAACGGAATTAGTATGACAGTATGACTGCATACCTCTGGAAGTATTTATGGTATGGATTTATAAGAAATCAATGCTGTACTTATGGAAAAAGTTTGGATTTTTTAGAAGGAGCCAATGCACCTCCCATACCCACTGAATTTTTTTATACTACCACCTGTTAAAACATTTACTTCAATTTAAAGTAATATTTTATTTGTGAATTATTAGAAAATGAATGTCGATCGAGTCGTTGTATCACAGAAATGTTGATTCTTAGGAACAAAAGTGTCATAAAGATTTTTAGAGATAATTGCATGATCTACACTTTTGTCTAACCTATTTTTATGATAAACCTTACCGTTCAACTGAAAAATGGTAAAAATCAATTTATGTGACCTTTGACCTTGAAAAATTTTTTTTTACAGAACTGGGCCTTTTCATATACCAATTATAATAATTTTTAGCTTTATGCGACCTTGAAAGTCTAATTTTATCGAGCTAGTACGAACATTATTAAAGATATGGTACAAATAGAGTAGCAATTACAAAATATTATTAATATTATTTCAATTAGGTTGACAAGTGATAATTTATGGGAATTATGGAATTGTTTGTTGTTTTGTTTTTATATTACATATTGAAAAATCCCCATAACAAAAGATTTTCCCATATACATAATGTAAGTATTGCTAGCCCCTTTAAGACACATTGCATTGCGCTCCTTTTACACAGACGACCACAAAAACCCCGTCTTAAAATGCTACATAAGTAGATCCTATATAAACCAATTCCTGCACTACTTTAAAGTTATAACTGCCTAAGACACTATTATGTCTTAATTTGTGAAAACTATTTGAAAGTTGTCAGGAGGTACTTTACCTTGTCCTCGTTCACCGCTAGACTAACGGCTTTAGCTTCCTATTCTAAGCCAGAAAATGCAGCTCTTATGGCTCACACTGAGAGGACCCAACCAGTTGATAAATGGGAGGCTCAAATTTTGGACATAGTTTCGTCGATAAGACCTTATACGAAGCGCTAATAAGGCTAATCCCGCAAACAGCAATTTCCTTCGTGTGAATAGGGAAAGTGTACCGTAATTCCAATTAACGCGCATGTACTCATCAAACCAAATTTTTCTTAAAAGCTTTTGCATGCACCCTAATAGCTCCTTGCCGCCGCCTTTGTAACACGCAGTTGTTATTCCATCGACTCGTAAGTGCCTTGTAGTTTTTAAGCTCATTTATCGTTGTCCTCACCGCATCTTGGTGGAGGGTATGGACTTTGTATTGCTCAGGGCTCTTCTTCGCCAAACACGATACCTGTATGGCCATATCAAAAGCCTTGGAAAGTATTGCCTTCATATCTCAAGTGTAATCTGGACGTCTGTTAACAGATTTCCATCTTCGTCCTTGCAATAACCAGCCTAGGTCATGCATTCATTCCATTGCTGCCTTATTTTTTTTAATGGAAATTTTACGTAACATCAGCTAGTTATTGTCTTAAGTTTTCGCAATCATGTCTTTTAGTTTCTCTTATTTCTTAAGTAGATATTTTTCTTCCTTCCTCATTTGCGGGGTCAGTTTAATATACATGCAGCAGAAGTATGCAAATTAATTCCCCAAACAGTTTTCCGGGAATTATGTTCAAGTATCAGTCCAAGGACTGTGGACTCGTCCTTCGCCGTCAACTTGGTTTACGCGTCTTTCTTCGTCGAAGAGTTTTGATACGCTCCTTTTTTCGTCAGTTTTTTTATTTTTAACGCGTCCCTTGTCACCGTGAAAAGTCTCGCGTGTCCTTATTCGTGTCTAGTGACGATATATACTAAACATTGCTTTATAAATACTTACACTTAAATGATAATTTATCAGCGTACATAGAGCTAATGAATATCAATTAGATTAGAGTAAACTGGCTCGTAAATGTGTGGTCTAACCCCATAAATGTATATGGTATGAAAAGCAGCAGAAATTCAGATGTTATATTTCTTCTAATGTGGCATTTTGTTCTTTTCATCTTTCAAATACTTGCGTCCAAGGAGAAGATTGTACTGGATCTGCAAACGGGTAAAACGCATGTCATTATTGAGAGTGACGTTGAGACTTCACCAACTGACACAGCCACCACCTCAATGGCTGGTCAGAACAAGCAAGCGGAGTCGCTGAATAGATTACCGCTCTTACGTTTCTCACCACCGACGCCTACAACCGGCGAACGCCAGTCGTCTACTTCCATTACAAATGCTGGGGCAGTGGCATTGAAGCCACCCGCGATTGTCATCGATGTGGAGCCGCCAACACCAGAAGAGAAAACACCACGACCTCGTGATCTAATTATACCAACATTAACTGTGGAACATCCAAGTCCAACGAAGAATCGCCATCCGATGATCATATTTCCAGGATCGCCACCACCGCAACGGGCCAGCATAGGTGAAACAAGTTTTATGTTTCCAAATAAGCAACAACAAAAAAGGTATATAAGTAGAGCACACAAGTTTTTGTTCTTGTTTTGAGTTTTGTTGTTGGTGTAATGCGTATCTACTTAATTACATTTGTATAAACTCGTAGTATAATTATTATCGCACAGAGTAACTGTAGCTTACACTAATAGTTAGTAGATTACATACATAGCTTCATTTAGAAGAGGCTTTCACTTCGTCACAGTTTTTTCCTCATTTACTACATATCCGAGCGCACGTCTACCTTTTTATGGGTGTGTGTAATAGTGAGCATACTTAGAATCACCTAGAAGTTTGTAGTCTAACATTTCTGGCGGGCGGATAAAGCTCAGATCAGTGAACTTACAAATGAGAATAAAATTGTTTCGTTACACTCTCCGGCAGGCTCTTAAAACAATTCGATAAACCCAACTCGCTAGAATTTCCCTTTGTACCACCCATGATTACCGTCACTTCCAACATGAGTGAACTGGAATCGGACACCGAACCATTATCTCCGGCCACGAAAACGTGCAACCCGGGTGGCCTAATGCCACCGAACCCGGTTGGTATGTGCTACCTGAGCCCCTTCACAATGTGCAGCCGTGCCGACCGCACCATCTCCGAAAGCAATCTCAGCTCTTCCGGCTACTCGAGCATGGCAAGCCCTGGGCCAAGCCGCTGCGGCTCAAGCAATCCTTTGTATCCCGGCGAAATGGATGAGCCAGGCAGCGGCCATTCCAGTGGTGGGCTCTCTCTGCATGTAAATCTTTTGAACCGACGCAAGAACTCCGCCCTCGCCAGCTGCAAGGAGAATATAACCAATGGCAAGGGAACGGACGCCGAAAGCGGCGCGACCGGCAGCAGCGCCGATCAACTGCACAGACCACGTTCCGACTCTGAGACATTCTCTGATGAAATCATTTTGGAGTCCAACGATGAAGGTATCGGTACTGACCATGTCGATGAAAAATTGGATGATAGCCGTTTGAGCAGCAATCGCTTCAAAACATTAGGTGCCTACATGGCAGAGCACGTCTTAATCGAAGTGGACGAGCCGCAGCAGCAGCCGACAAGCACGAGTGCCGCTAGCTGCACCATCAGCGCAGGCAATCAAATGGCACAACTGCAACTGCCTTCCATTGTGATACAAATCGACGGCAATGAAAAGGGTCTCTCACCAGTGTCGTCACGCTCGGAAAGTCCGCTGAGCGAACGCGCCAGCATGGGCCGCTTTTCACCGCACTTCTATGGGCGTAAAGATCAACTGCCTTTCACTGACTCAGATGGACTCTATGACTTTCCATCGTCGGATGGGAAAGGCGGCTCCTTTACCCATCAGCGTCGCAGCAGCAGTAAAAAGCGTGAACGTAAGTCATCCAAATGCTCCGCAACACAGTCACCCACAAAGCAGCAGCTCGACTTACCGAGCAAGGAGTCGCTAACCACTTCGACAACAACACCGAGCAGCAGCGGGCATGTGTGCAGTAAGCATTGTCTTTCGCATCACCACACTTGTCCGGCATCGGCAACTACCACACGCAAGAGTCCAAAGCGACGACTCAATAGTAGACCACCGGTTGCGAGTAGCTCTTCCTCATCGGAAAGTCTGGTGTCTCCGAAGGAGTTGACTGCCTCAAGGCCACTTCCGCGGCGTAAGTAGAGAGTTTTTTCCAAAACTAGAGCGGGAATGGCATGATTTTTTGCGAATTTCAGGTCTGAACTCGCCAAATAGAGAGAAACGTCCGCGAAAGCAGGAGAGTCTGAGCGAAGAAGAGGTAGCTGATGTAAGTAGATTTTAAGACATGCTTATGCTATGTCATAAATATTTTGTCCCATTAATTATACAGGCCTTGCTGCGGAGAATTTCACCCAGCATTGTAAAAGAAGATACCGAAACAGTTAAGCCGAAATGTAAAATAAATCGTTTGCGTGCAATCGGAAATCAAATAAGGTATGTAGTAGCAGTAAGTAAACAAATTAGCATTAGAATTTTAAAACAAAATATGTGCAGTGGTTAGCAGTCCGCATATTTTCCGAAAATATTGAGGTAATCTGGTCAGCCATGAGGTCTCTTCCAATCCGACGAAGCGCAATGACAGGGTGGAAATTTATATTATGTGATGGCACCTCTTACGACCCAAAAGAAATATGGGAGCTCTCTTAGCCGGTATTTAACACTGCATCCTTCTGTGGGTCAAGTGACCAGAAGACTGCACGACCTCCTAAAACCCAGAGCTCATTTAACCAACAACTTAGTTCAAGTCTTCATCGAGAAGGTAAAAGCCTCCAAAGCCATAGCCCCCGATGGACTATACTTTTTGATACTAAAGCACTTAGGTCCGGTGGGAGTGTAATACGTCACTAAGGTGCTAAAGTTTTCGTTGCCCACTGTCGTCATTGTGGTATGCGGAAAGCATGGAGAATGGTCCCAATACTAAATCCCGGGAAACCAGCCAACAAAGTTGGGTGGCGAAAACACTTGAGATCTTCCTACTTCCATACTTAACCCCCAATCTGACCCCACTACACTTCAACATGGTTTCTATAGAGAACGAACCCACCCCTTTGAGATAAATGTCTTAGGATTGCTGGCCTCATTCCACAGGGACTAAAAAGGTGGAATGCGAATTATTTGAGTGGTCGACAGAAAAAAATAAGAAGGATCCCACAGGATGGTGCCCTTTCATCAGAGGGAGATTTATTGCTCTCCTGCGCTAGCGTCGGGAAATAAAATTGATGTCCTGCGTTTAAAAGTAAACGTTTTCTAGCTTTTTCACAGACAGAGCCTTACCCTCTTCCCTCCAAAAACAATGATGACCCTTTTTACTACCTGAACAGAGCAACTCGCCAGCAGGACTTGGGGATGAGATAAAGAAAAGTCACTGACACATGCAAGACAATTCGCCGGCCGGTTCTGAACTAAACTGCGTCAGTTTGGTTACCGGAGGCTAGTCTTGTCAGAACACCGCACCGCGGATGCCTCTTGACGTTGCTTGAACACCACTTTCAAAGCTTAGCGAAGACTTTCTGCTTTGCTGCTCTCATAGGGAGAAACCTCTTAGGTACGTCAAAAGGCATCTCTGGACCTGATTTTTTACAGACATGGCCTGGCGGCATTCACCGAAAGACAATCACATGCCGTCATCGGAGTGTAACCGCACGCAACACAGAGCTGATACTATAGCAGGTTAAACTACAAGCCAAGTCAGGCTGGCCTCTGGCCTACTCTCTCTTCACTTACACACTTAAATCCGCCCACCTAACACCCTTTTAGTCCGACTCCGTCAAAACGGAAAGTTTTCTGTGCCCTCATTAGTTAAACTGTACGACAACGATTGATAGGCCAGCCGCTACAACAACAAAAAACACTTGTGACCACGGAAGAAACAAAAATGCCATATGTGCATATATATAATGGCACTATCCCAAAAAAAGCCATATTGCAACCTTTTGTTTCTTCGCAACTTTATAATCACACTCTACTTCTCATATTTAGACTCGGAAATAAACAAGAGACAGTCAGTCTAGGGTCAAATACTTAGGTCTGATCCTAGACAGGAAGCTATCGTGGAAGCAAAACTTAAAATAAATGTTGAGAAAGGCCCTGATTGTATAACGAAAAGTGCTGCGGGAGCCGCATATTGGTAAGAGATGAGGTCTCTCGGCATGAACTGCTATAAGAAGAGAAGGGAAACCGGAGAAACCAGGTTCAAAGACTGGACACTCCGGAGCTTTGGAGAGTCTCTATTCACAGATTACTCCATCTTCAAAATGTCTGCTACTAGGCTTTTATCTATCTACATAACTTCAGGGAATGATTGGGAGTGACTAGCTAACTGGCGGAGGTGAGCAGTGAACCTTTTCAGAGAAGGATCGAAACTTAAAGATAGGTTGGAGAGCCCTACTTCCGGGAGCTCTCCACCAAAACTACGTGAAGGCTTTCAAACTGCTGCCATGTTTTTCAGGCAAAAGTAGCTCCCATTAGGGGAGCGAAAGCGCGTGACGTCAGTTTGAGAGATAAGCATATATGTTTTCTTTTTCTTTATTGGTGCTGTAACCGCCTAGGCGATTTTGGCCGAGTCCAAAACAGCACGCCAGCCATTTACCTTCTGTACCAACTGACGCCAATTGGAAATACCAAGTGAAGCCAAGTCCCTCTCCTCTTGGTCTTTCCATCGCAGTGAGGGCCTCCCTCTTCCTCTGCTACCCTCAGAGGGTTCCGAGTTGAATACTTTCAGAGTTGGAGCGTCGGTGTCCATTCGAACGACATGGCCAAGCCAGCGGAACAGCTGAATTTTAATCCGCTGCACTATGTCTATATCGTTGTAAAGCTCATACAGCTCATCGTTTAATCGTATGCGGTATTCGCCATCGCCAACGCGTAAAGGTCCGTAAATCTTTCGCAGAATCTTCCTCTCGAAAAACTCCAAGAGCCGCTTCATTAGATGAGCATATATGTATGTAATCTAAAAACCAAGCAGCTGTCAGCACCCTGAGAACAATAGCGGCGTACCCAAAACTTTTGAGGGATTGTCTGATCTCTCTCTCAATTGCTTCGTAGTACATTTTTATTAAGCTTATTTGGGTGCCAAGCTAGACCGAAATTGCAGGAAACTTATTGGCTGAAGACGTAGCAAGAAAAGATACCTTTGAAGCGAGGTGGTCAAAGGAGCTCCTTGTCTTTGAAAAGTCGCAGCGCTCGCCGCTGTTGGGGGTTCCAACAATTCTTTATCCATTCAGGTGATTAGGCAGTAAGGTTAGGAATCTTAGCTTATCCCTACTGTCACATCTGTCAGGAGAATTATTAGGTAGAGTCTGTTGAGGACTATAGCATAAATGTCCAATGTGTCCCCTGCCACCGCAATCTAACCTTATCTAACCTCCTACTTATTTTTATTTATTATCTTCAATTCCATCAGATTTTTGCGACGCCTCAAAAAATCCATAAAAACTCGTGAGCGTTTAGCTTCACCATCGGATAGCTGCCCGGAAGAGAATACCGACGACATGGACTCACCGCAGGCTACATCACCGCTACTGCAACCGCAATCGCCCAGCAAGACACGCATAGCGTTGTGTCGACAAAAGCGACTGCCGAGCGGTACGTATGGCATTACAGCAGCTGCATTGAATTCCAGCAATTGGAAGGGTATGGATCGTAGCCTAATCGGTGATGACTTAAATAGCGATTAGACTAACAAGGACCCAGAAGTACAAGTAAGACATGCTTACGCACGTACATATATACTACAAATTTACTTGCATGGAACAAAATAAAAAGCGAAAGGCTGAAATATACGAATATTACGTAATATGGAAATGTTAAAAGCATGACATGCATCTGTATAGGTTGTAGGTGTAAGTAAGTACATACTTAGTATTCATTAATAATTAGTTAGTTAAGAGTTGAACATGGAATTGATTTTTCGTGAATGTAAGCCAGTGGTAGGTAAATAAATAGGTAGACATATTTACATACATACACTTGTGCACATACATAAACAATATACATACATGCACCGTTCATTATAGGGTAAGTAAATAGCATAACTCTTAAAACTCACGCTTAAAAAAAGAACACGAAAATTATTGATTCCCTTCGAACATATGTATGTGAAATGTTTCCATAGGGCGAGCAAGTACGTACATGTCAAGACCTAAATACATATACATTTGAAAGTATGTACATATTTATTCCCAAGCAATAGAATTATTCTAAATTCCCTACCAGCGCCGACATTTAAGAACAGCATATAAAACATTGCTGAAAATAAGTAAAATATAAAAAGAAAGTATTTTTCATAAGAGTATATTTCAGGAAATTAATATTCATTCCATTTGTACATACACACTATGCTTACATACATATGTATATTTATTATATAAGCAACGAAGTTTAAATACAAATATTGTTAGGTAAATAAATATTTAGAAACACTTAATGGAAGAAATGTGCTCAACAATTTGCGCTGTGTTAATTTTTTTGACGATAAAAAATACCAACGCAAAAACAATAAGTAAAGTAAAACGTTGTAGTCAGTGCGGTCGAATCAATGTCTCGAAATTCACCAATTAGATTGCATACATTCATATGTATGGTTATCATGTGTTAATTTCGCAATTTAATTTTGTTATGCAAAATGATCTCTAATGTGCTGAACGTTTTTCTGTGAAATTTTTGTTTTTAGTTTAAAGTAGGCCCCGAGAAAACGTTCGCTTTTTGTTTAGTTATGCACGAGAACATAATGTAATGTAAAACTAAAGGGGAACTAAACTATTCAGAGCAGTTTGAATGAGAACAAAAGTTTCGGGATCTTTTTAGTAAAGAACAAAATGGGAACAAAAGTCTCGAGACGCTCTCACAAGGAAAAAATGAGAACAAAACCCCTCAAGAACATTCTCAAGAAGAAGAGAATGAGAAGGAAGCTTTCGGAAACGTTTTCAATGAGAACTAAAGTATGGATAACGTTTTAAAGAAGGATAAAATAAGAACAAAAGTCTGGGGAAAAAAACCAAAACAAAAGTTTTGAAAACTTAACGTTGAGAGTGAGAGCTTACAATGGTTTCAAATTGGCATTTTGTGTGCACAATTCACTGGAGCCTTCAATTTTCACTTACTTTGACTTTTTTTAAATTACAGCTTATAAAATTTGCCAGAGACCGTTTTTTTAATTTTTGTTTGTTTGTATTAAATTTTTTAGTGCGAATTGCAGAAAAAGTTGCAATTTTGAAAATAATCGATTCTCCTGTTTCAGTTAATAAATGTTACATAATATTGTAGGGTTCTCCCAAAATGAAAAAAAAATATTAAAGAAGAAAAATTTCAATCTTATAAAACAAATTTACCAAATTTAATAATTTTTTTTTTTTTTTTTTTTTTTTTTAATTTTGGGTGCAAGTTGCAAGTAAAAAAAATATTATTAAAAATCAACGCGACCTCTTAGTCTTTTACCAATTGCACTTTATTGTACTAAAATTTAATGATCTATAAAACTGCTTACGCAACATTTTTCTAGAAACTAAAAATAATCTTTTTTTGGTTTTTGGGAAAAAAAAATTTTACAACATTTAAAATTTTTCTTGTTTTGGCGAAATCCTAGAATATTTTTTAACTGGTTTTACTATGTAACATTTATTAAATGGAACAGGAGAATCGATTTTCTTCAAAATTGCTACTTTTTCTGCACTTTGCACAAACAAATTGAATATTTTAACAAGCAAACATTTAAAAATCGGGCTCAACTAGTCTCTTGAAATTTTTATTAGCTTTCACTTAAAAAAATATTAATCAAATTGAGTGAAAAATTAAGGCTCCAGTGAATTGTGAACACTTAATTCCAGTTTGGAACCCCTGTGGAGCGCATAAATATGAAAACTCGTTTCGGTGAGAATCGTGATTTTTGATTCTAAATAGAGGAGATCTGGATTATATCAACTGCATAGGGTGAACTGTCCATTGATGGAACAATTTTTCATTTTTCNTTTTTTTTTTTTTTTTAAAAAAAAAAAAAAAAAAAAAAAAAAAAAAAAAAGTTCGCGTCTTAAGTCTTTCGTTGACTTAATTTATATAGTTTTAATATTGAAACAAGAGCAAAATTTTGTTCGCACTTCCATTCTCCGCGAACAGTTCAGAGAAGATTTGTTCCGGTATGGTTTAAAAAATCTGATTAAAAAGTGTAAAATTTGTTGAATTCTCCTGAGTTTTGGCAAAAAGTTTCGAAAGTATATTTAATTTTTTTGTGTATATGTACCATATTTTTGTAATAAATAAGCAAAAAAGAAATTTTAATAAAAATGTTTGTATATATTGTGAAAAATTCTCTGTGCCCATATTATTTGCCGTGAGTGTAAATATAGAAGTATTTTTTCTTGAAAGCTGCAAACTGCTCTAAAAAATTTTTTAATTTATTGAGCATTTCTTTATACATTTTTTATTTGTCTTGACAGCTGATAACTACGCTTAAAGTTTAAACTCCTCGGCATATACGAGTATTTAAGACAAAAATTATTCGCAAAAATGTAAATTATTAAAATAAATAGAAGATGCAAAATAATTGTATGACAACTATTTACTAATGAAAACAGTTGTGAAAAAGATATTAAAAGGAACACAGTGATCTACATTTCAAAAAAAGATATAAATTAAATTTAAGAAATATATAGGAGAATGAATCAGCGCGCCGATTCCGTGAATATGCAGCGTCAGAGATTTCTATAAAAAGTTGATTTTTCAAAAAATTAGATAATTTCAGCAAAATAAAACAGCATTTGAGGATGGAGTATTACGGTTTATACTACTACTGACCTTGAAAATTAGCAAGANAGTAAGTCTATTCATGATGAAATGTCAAAGCATACTGAGCATCTTTCTCTTTGACACCATGTCTGAAATCCCACGTGATCTGTCAAATACTAATGCATGAAAATCCTAACCTCACAAAAATCACCCGTTATTAACTGTGTATTTTTTTTCGAAAAAAGCTAACTACTTTTGTAGGGCGATGGCCGCAAAAAAGTCAGACCAGGATACCTCTGCATTACATGTCAACTAACTTGTAACTAACTACTTTTGGACATAAAATATCAATAAGAAAAACAAAATATTTTTTTGTTTTTTTACTTTTTTATTTACTTATTTATTTACTTTATTTTATTACATTTCATATTTGTTTACATATTCTGCTCTGGGTGGCCCCATATTCGAACACCGTCAGACATAACTTCAAAATGATAGTATAAAATTTCGATCTTCCTTTTATTTGTCCTGAATATGAAAAAGAATCTGCGAAGTTCAGAAAAAAAGTGTATTGAAAGTAATTTTTGTATGAGGATATTTAATAGAAACTTGTAAAGAAAACCAACTCCCGATTGCGTCTGCATGACTCCTGCACGACTTTACAATTCACTTTAAGTTGGTTTTGTCATAGCTAATTAAAAGTGAGGTATTAATCGAAATCTCGCCAAAAAGCTAACTATAAGTTGGTTAGTTTTAACAATTGATAATTTTTCACTGCAGGGTTGGTAGATGCTATATTGGTTTGTATTTCTATGTGCGGCCTCTAAAAAGCCTAAATTTCATTTTAAACCGAAGCAATATTGAAATAAATATCTAGCCATAAATAGCTACTAATTCATAATAAAATAGTTTTTAAGGAGTTTAAAAGGGAAATCAATCAATTAAATACATAAATAATAGATAAAAGGAAAAAAAATCAGTACCTGGTGAAACTGCTTTTTGGGGACTGCGTATATGGGAGAGGCATGTCACGTGAATCCATTTGAAAATTCTACAATCAGGGACTCAACTCAAAAATCAGATACGGAAATATTACTCTTTGTGGATCGTAAAGATTCAAAGCAAATAAAACGAAACAGTTATAATAGTAGTATTGAACCTTTTTCTTCAAAGCACAAACTTTTAGTTCTATCTTACACTTGGGAGGATATGCTTCGTTTTTATGATACTGGGCTCGAATCGTACCATCCGTTCACGGATCGAAAACGATACGAAAGAAAATTACGTGATACGTCAAGCAGTATAAGCTCAGTGTGGCAAAGAAATTTGCTAATAATGGTAAGGCAAGTATTCAAGACCCCGTTAAAGGCGCCAAAAATTTTACTAAGTTACGTTTTACACAGTGAACTTGCACAGAAATTAGTAAGACTATCTTTAGTTCAAAAATTATGTTAATAGATTATGTGGTACGTGGAAAACACTTTTCAATTAAACATTTTATGTGAGCTTCTTCATAAATTTTGGTGCTCTTCAACTTCGTTTGACGTATGCATGAGACGTGCGCGCTTAAGGCTTTTTGGGTACAATTATTAATCTCGGCATCTGATTCATTCTCTGCATTTTAGTAGGTTAGTTTTTAATTGATAATAAAGAAGTTTTCACACATAGTTTTGCTTAAATAGTTGTAATTATTATCACAAGAATTCAAAATGTTTGCACAAATCACAATAACCATTTAAGAATATCTCACTGTAATATTACAAATATAAAATTAAAAAAAAATGACTGGCATTAATGTATTTAGCTAAAACCATAAGCAATTTTATAAAAGCTTAAATGCAAACGAAATATACTGACATATACATACTTTCATATATGTGTGTTACTATGTAAATGTGCGTGTGTTAAAACTATGTATTAAAAAAAAAATTCTGTGATAAAAGTTTCAAAACGATCCTTGCAGAAAATAAAACGGGTAACAAAATTAAAAAATAGAAAACAAACACTTTACACACCATTTTATGCTTCTACTCAATAAATAAAGGAAGAAATCAAAAGCAGTCCTATTGCAAACGTACTTAAAAAATATAGAAAAAAAGAGAAACATGTGGAAGCTTAGCAGGTCAAAGTGAGCGAAAAGTATATATGTACATATGTACACAAAGCTCTGAACACATCGAAAACGACGTCACCACACGACACGACATTAATNAAATTCGTAAAAAAATCGTTACAGAAATCAGATACTCCTAACGATTTCCTCAAGATTTCGGGAACTTTGGTTTGCAGGGCTATTGCAAACGTACTTAAAAAATATAGAAAAAAAGAGAAACATGTGGAAGCTTAGCAGGTCAAAGTGAGCGAAAAGTATATATGTATGTACACAAAGCTCTGAAAACATCGAAAACGACGTCACCACACGACACGACATTAAGGTTTTATCTACATATTCTTAACGTTTTGTGGTCGGGGACATGTATTTTTTGAACGTGGCAGCAACACCATGACTTTGTTTGAGTCCGACATAAAAGAAGAGGAAGAATCTTATCTGTCGCTAGAAAATTAGAAATAGATCTAATCTGGCCACATTTTTTGGTTAGTCGCGGTGTTGCCGTGTGGTCGGCCGCCCGTCGTGTCCAATGTGTTTCAAGCTAAAATGTGGCATATTCATATATTTAGTAGCATTCAAAATGGGATAAAGCTTTTTTTTACGAGTTCAAAGTTGCAACTAATACGAATATATAGCGACGAGAGACCGGCTCTCGATCATTTTTTTTTTTAGTTCTAACAGCCATCCCTAAATTGGCTCGTCAAGCGTCAAAGAAAGCGGCGCCGAATAAATGAAGTTTTCATTTTTGACGGGACAAATATGAGAAAGAGGAAACGGGAAAAAGACTTCAATTATGGGCATTCTTGTATTTATAAATTAATTGATTGTAAACTACAAGGCCGCCGTGACCGAGTGGTTAGATGTATTTCTTGCAGTGGGACCTCATACCGTCAGGGAAGAGATAAGAGCAGAAGAACGTCAATTCAGGAGATCACATTGGAGGGATATGCCAGGACTTAATCAGGCGAAATAACTTTTGGAAAGTTACCTCCCCAAGAGATCTAGAGGACTTCCCTTCAAATAAAGCCAAAGCTATAATTTATAAGAGGTCTGCTAACGAAATATTGCAGGCTGTGGGCTCATATGAACAGTCTGGGATTATAGTGGACGACTCCTGTCGTTACTGCGACATAGCATCACAAACGATGCGGTTGCAAGAAGAAGACTAACACGCCTGGCAGGGTTGTGGTCAGAGGCTACGCACATTCACTCTCTGCCGCTCTCGAAACTACTTGGTTTCATTAGAGGTTTAGGGCTAAACGGAGTTTGGAGATGA